AACGCTCAGTATGGGCGATGCAATTTAGGTTTGGTTTACCGAATTTACACCAAACTAAGTGTTTGATAACGTAACGTATTTATAGGCACGGAAGGTAGAAAGGGTAGCTTTTCCCAGCAAATCTGACATCCAATGCAGCTTTAACCAACGGAAATGCAAATATCCAGACCGTAATATCCGTTGAATCGTAATATCGTAATATCCGTTTAAATAATATCCGTAACAATCGTAATAACGTAAATATCCAGACCGCATTGTGCGGGGCTGCGGTCTGCCCTCGCTGTGCCAAGACTTCAGTGACGTCACGTCAACGTTGGGCGTATGGGGTGCTTAAAAGCCGGTCGGGCGTATTTATACGTCCCTGGCAATGCCGGTGATCGACGGCGACAAATTACACACGGCGTCGAGTTTTACCACTTCGATTGTACAACGCGCGCTAGTTTTATGAGACAGTTGTAATTTGTACTTTGGTGACTCTAAAATACAAATAACAAACTACAAACGGGTTGTAACAATTTTTTATGAGAAAGGCTACAGCTGGAGCAAACGGCCGAAACGCATACATTTATCGTGTGTGCACAATTTTCGGGTGCCTTAAAATAGCCACCGACAATATGCTGGCAAGCTCACTCAGTCCACGGCCTGTCGTCTAACTGCAGGTGAATGATAAACTTAGTAGGAACTATTGAAACCATAGCAGCATCTTATTGTGACAAATGTAATGGCAACTACCGATTAAAATTTCGCACATAAATGGTTTGAATAAGAAGACGTTCCGTGCCTGAACCAATGAATGAATGCTACACATGTCTGTGGAAGTATGTCAGCGATCACGCTTATCTTCCCACACATATAAACGAGTTGCCTTATGTTTATTGAGGCAACCTCATGGTTGCCTTCATAAATACCCCACCCACACAATACGTTTTTTACAAAATACCAATCAGGGTGTGAAGTTTGGGATGAAATAAGAGCAGTCTGCGGCTGTAGAGCGCGCTAACCGATTGTTTGATTTCTCATGAAAACAGTTCATGCATAGAATATCTATTGCGCTCACCGCAACACAAGTCATATTTTCATGTGGCTGTGTTTTACCGCCAGTAAAACGAAAGTAATTCTAGACATGAGCATGCCTTGAAAGTCGGCAATAAATGCTTTAAAGTATGTGTAAAGAGGCACTGCAGGCAATTCGCTTCTCACATTTCCTCGTCATGCAAAACCGCGAGTATGGTTTTGATCGTAAGTTTGCAACTCCTGAGCATTGATGTAAAGAACTTGCGTCTCAACCGCGTTGTTTTTGCCCTATACCCATTTCATGTGACACAAATTATCCTTGGGTGTTCCAGTTGTTAGCATCTTGCCCTTTATTGGTATATCCATAAAGACGGATGCCACGAAATTCCAGACCATCAACACAGTACCTAAAATCATAAATATGAACACATTATTTTACACGTACATGCTCGCACGCATGATGTCATTATGCAAGCATTCTTCTGTACTTAATAGTCACATCATGGTCTTGAAGCCTTCCTACGCTGTCATAACTAGCGTGTGTCACGACGCTCCTTTGCTTTCAGCTCAGCTGATAATGCATTCGTCTACCGCCACGTCCATTAGGACACCCGTTTAAGCTTCAACTACAGTTTTGACGCTCCCTCCGGCAACCGGTGCGACACATTCCAACGGTAAATGGCTCACAATGGTGTATTCGACGTCATCCCCTCGGAATTATGACTCCGCCAAGCGCGCGGGTCGGCTGCAGGGGCTGCCTGTCGTCGCTGCTGTCGCCGCTGTTGCCGCGGCACGGCGCGCGGTGGCAGGCTCTCCGGGCACCGCTCTCATTGGCAGTCGGGTGGGGCGCCGCGGTTCAGTGGCGCGTCATCGCGCGGCGGGTCCCATCTGCCGGCCATTACCTGCCGGCGTCGCGGCGGCCGCACCGTCCTCACGGGGCGCCGCCGATCTGCGGAAGATTGGAGCACCGGAAGCCGCCCCCTCCCGGCCTCCGCCTCCGACGCGGGAGGCACAGTGAATACCGAGTAGTCAGACGACGCTCTAATATCTCGGACCTGATGGTCTGCGGGGAGTGGGCCGTAACAGTTCTCAGTGAATTCGCACGACATTGCCAGCGATGAGCGAACGTTTTGTAGTCGCTGCGCTCGCTGCGAGAAGTTGGGCTGTCACGGATGCAACCAACGCCGCGACAGACGCTGCTGAGCACATGAGCACTTTACATCCACACAATTACAATTCTGAAAGGCGAGGCTGCGCATAATGTGTTTTGCACATGTGCGAATACATATTGCCCCTAACAAGAGACAGTTGTTGAGTGTTGTTGCTAAATCCGACATATTTCAAACAGATGATCGCAGTTTTGCCAACATAGATAATGATTGCGCCATTTAGTTTAAAATATCTGGAACTGTGGCAGTTTTGGGTAGACTTGACTAGGTTTGATTATTTGTATCACAGACTTCTCCCATGGTTGTCCCGAGGCGATGCTGATTTTTTTAAAGGGAATGTGTGCGTGATAGTAGCGCGCTGGGGCCATGCTGCAAGCGAGATAAAAACCCAGGCCCTCACATGTGAACCGAAGGCACTAACCACTCGGTCATTATGCTCCAAACGGCTGCTGATGAAGCGAAGGATGATGCGAACACGTGTGTTGACGGATACACACTTTACTCCCATTCCGCCAGAACACATGTCACGTTTACTCGGCACCGGGTGTGCGTCGGTGGATTGGGGCGTTTGACATTCACATTTGTGTTTGTTATGTTACCGTTCGGTGAAGAGACAATATAGATCAAGGATGTTAGGTGTACAAATGAGTAGGGTAGGATGTTGATGTTTGTTAGGGATGGGATGTTGATGTTTGTTAGGGATGGGATGTTGATGTTTGTTAGGTGAGTAGTACAAATGTCAAAGGGCAACCATGCATTCGTCCGCTGCAGCATGAATTCTCCATTTGTCAACGGGACAAGTCCCTGGTCTCTATAAGTTGCCCCACATCATTTAACGCCGTTAACAATACTTCGGAATAGAGGAAGCAGCCTATCCTTCAGCCAGACTGGCCCTAGTTGAGCAACTTTCATGTTTGATGTGTAATTCTGTTGCTTCTGACCTTTTCTCAGACTGAAAATTAATAGTGAGTTCCTATACTTCCAGACTGTTCTTAATCGCGCGAAAAGTTGAAGAGATGATTAAAGCGTCGGAATTGAAATTAATGCGTTTTCAATGCACATCTACTGCAACGGTCCTAAATGCTGCGGTTTCTCTCTAGCAACAGATCCCGGTTTAAAGAGGGCTTTCAACAAGAGGGCAATGGTACAGGGGTCGTGAGAAATATGCGCTGTCATATTGCAGGACAAAGACGTTGAGCTCGATCCACTCGTGAAACATATACTTTTGTTGAAAAACCTGAACAAAACCCGGGCATATTAGTGAGAAGAAAAAACAAAAGGATCGGATATCTCCATTAAGATATCGCCATGCCAAAACATCCAACTTTTTATGCTAGACAGACGGTTCATCACCCAGAAAGCTTTTGCCATTCGCATTGTCCAAACCGTTTTAGACTTGCCAGTCGTCATCCACACCACAGATAGTACCTTCTGATAGTGATTATTGCGCGTATTGAATTTTCAGCAACAAAAAAAAATGATGAGCAATAACCGTGCTGCAGCTAAACATTAGGGAAGGGCGACATCTGCCTTTCCCTCCCCCACGTTTCGGGTAGTTTCACTCATGTTCCATACCAAAATTAGGTCGCTTGGTATGCTGTAAAGGTGCACCACAAAGCCAAGTGCCACCAAACGCATACAATAAAACGGTCACGCGCGTGCAGCAGCTGCACCTACGGCGCGGCATCAGCGGCACGGGTCCCAGGGGGACTCGGCTACCCCACCGACGTGAAGGCTCGTATCCCGCGCCCAAGTCGACGTCCCCTTTTCCAGAGCCACGTCAGATCCAGCACTGAACGCTCAGGAAACGCGCCGTAACATGCATCGCTGTCTCAGAAAACTAATCAGAGTCAGTATTGAAGGCTCCAGCAGTCCATCAGGGCTAGTGCGAATTCTTCGCGAGTCCATCATGATCAGCATCAACGTTTCCAGAACCAAACCGGAGTCAACATTGGGTCTCTGGCACATAGCCGAAATCGACGTTCACGCCCCGCTGGCTGACGCATCTGCAAAACGGCGTGCCTCTGTGACATTAAGCATCTGAGAAAACCAGATTGCTTGGAGGCCGCTTAATTTCCTGGCGTTTCTGACATAGGTTTAACTGAAGCGGTTCAATTTCCTGCTTCATCGAGCCCTGGAAGAGCTGAAACTGTTCAATGTTCCACACCACCCAGCCTGTGGGGAGCGCTTACACTGCTTCGTATTCCGATCGTGTCAGTTACCCGACCCGAGATGCCCTGGAAAGTTCCGGGTAGTTTGTCCTGGCCAGGTCTGGCTCGCCGCCTCGCGGACGACGCCAAGCGCGGGCAGCGGGCGAGAAGATTCGCTGATGCACGCAGCACTGATTAGTCTTCCGAAGTCGGGGCTGTCCACTTGGACCAAGCCAATTTAGGTGTTGGGTACAGCTGCGTCGACGAAATCGTGCCCTGCAATCGCTGCAAAACTGCGCATCGCCAGGCAGTCCGCGAGAAACAGACCGGGCCACACAAATAGTTCCATGGCAGTCCACACATACGCAAATACTTCCAAATAAAAAAGTATATCGACACAATCGCCAGGATCGTATGGTGTTGTCGATCGGGACCGATACTGGTTACCCGTACTGCCCCCGAGCAATTAATTCCCTTTCTCTCGGCATGGCCATGATGGTAATCTCCGCACACCTGGCTTGGCCAGGCTGGAGCCAGCCCTGCTGACCACGCAGCGGCCCGGCTGGGGCACCAGCGGCGTCAGCGTGCCGGGTAGGCCGGGGTCGGGTCGTGCCGAGCCGACCCTGACGTGCGTGCGATGGCCGGATGGCGGTCCGCGCCCTCTTACCTTGCCGTCCGTCTTGCGGTGGCCCTCGTGGATGCGCCAGACCATCTCGGGCCCGGCCGTGGCCACCTGCTTGCCCATCTCGTACATGTTGTGGATGGGATTTCCGTCCGTGCGGCTGCTGCCCAGCTTGAACATGGCCGGGTTGGGCATGGGGCGCGCCGTATCGCGCGCCACCGCCACGCCGTGCGCAACAGGTCCGCCGCCACGGCCGACTGGGGAGCGGCGCGCGCTCACCTGAAGCGCGCGGTCGGCGCCGGCGCCTCGCTGCACGGGTCGCTTCGATCGGCACCAGACGTCAGCCGCGTCACCGCAAGCACGGCCACTGGGCGTCAGATACGTCAGTCATGCCACCATATGTGCGCCTGGTGGACGACAGATCCGTCAGTGACGTCACCGCAAGTACGGCCACTGGGCGTCAGATACGTCAGTCATGCCACCATAGGTGCGCCTGGTGGACGACAGATCCGTCAGTGACGTCACCGCAAGCACAGCCACTGGGCGTCAGATACGTCAGTCACGTCACCGTAGGTGCGCCTGGTGGACGACAGATCCGTCAGTGACGTCACAGCAAGCACGGCCACTGGGCGTCAGATACGGCAGTCATGTCACCATAGGTGCGCCTGGTGGACGACAGATCCGTCAGTGACGTCACCACAGGTGCGGCCGGCGCCACCACACCGAGAAGTTGGAAACACCAGCTACTTTACAGCAGACACGGCCAGCATGCCAGGGGCGGCGCAGCAGGGGGAGGCAGAGGTTGCCCCTCCCCCACACTCCAGCGCAGAGTTGCCCCCTTGGCTGCAGACAGGGGGCGCAAGAGTATGTCTTTGCCCCTCCCCCTGAAACAAAATTTGAGCAGGCCAATTTTGTACAAGTAAAGACTCACGTGGATTACCAAAACGCCGATCGCAGAGGCCCCCATGGCTAAGCTAGAGAGTGCTGAATCGGGCTCAAAAGACTCTTTTCTTTATCAAGAGGCCTGTTTTATGAATGGTGAGCACGCCGTTATGAATAAGGGAGCCCACAGTCTAGATCAGGAGGCCTAATTTTGTGTTAAGGAGGCATTTTACTGGCTCGGGAGGCATTCGTTTGTACTAGGAGACCCCCATGATAAAGTAGAACGTCTCGTTGTGGGCCGGGAGGCCTCCGTTGTGAACGAGGAGGCTCCCGTTTTGAGCAAGGGGCCCCTTTTCAACTAGTAGGCCCGTCATGAGCTAGGAGACCCCGTTATGCACTCAGGGACCCTCGTTATAAATTAGAAGGTACCGATTACAGAATAGAATGCACCAATTTTAGGCTAAAAGGTCACAATGATGAGCTACGAGGCTCTCTTTATGAACTGGGAGGCCGCGCAATGAACCAAAAGGACTTTGTTACATACTAGGAGGCCCCTGTTTTGGAGACAGATGCCTTATGATGAATTAAGAGGCTCCCGTCATCAAATAGGAGGCCACCTTTACGAACAGGGAGGTCCCTGCCATTAACTAAGAGGCCTTGTTATAAACCAAGGAACAAAGTGCGCAGAAGGTGCCGCATCTCCTTGTTCATGTGCTATTTTAAGTTTGCCAGCCGCTTCCAATTCTACCTCTGTCTCAGCTCGTTCGTCCTTAAACAGCTTGAGCATTTACACCGCCTTACTTCAACATGGGCCCCCACGGGAACAGGGAGCAAACGAGCGGGCATGCGTATGCTAGCACCGCGGTACAGGATTCACTACACAGTGTGGAGGCGCAATAGGCTGAACGTCTCACTGCATGCGTTGCAAGGTTCCTATTGTTCTGCGTTGGTCTGAGTCCAAAAACCGTCGTCTAGGTCTTTCGCTGCTTTTGCACATTCAGGAGAGAAGAAATTATATTATTTTTGGTTCGTTTTCTTTCTCGTATCCCTCTTGTCGGCTAGGCAGTGTCTCGCAGACGGGAAAATTGCTCATCGCGTCGCTCCGTATCAGTGTCGGCAGTCAAAGTAGAAATTTAACGAATGCTTTATACATATTGACGAGGAAACGAGGACTAAAAGCCATCCATGCTTAAAAATCCTGTTTAAAGTCATCTGCACACGAATGCTTGCGATATAATACACGCACTAGTGGGCCTGTGGCAATTATTCACCTTGGAAGAGTGATATTATGCAGCCCGTTCTATTTCTGGAACTGCCATGTCAGAAGCACCCAGTGTGCAAGAGAGCTGGGAGAACACGAGAAGCCTTCTATGTGCGCAATTTCGGTGAACCTGGATCAGAGGCCAATTCGGAATTTCGTCAAGAAGGGGGGGGGGGGCGAGGGAAACGCAAGCGGCATTGTGGTGCCCGCTTGAGTTCGGGGCCCCCTCAAACACATGCTATTCTGGATATTCAAGTTAAATATTCTTATGACTGTTACTTTCCATGCGGGAACTCATCTGGCTATGCGCAGCCCAGGACAGTTAGGCGTGCTACGTAGACACACACAAGCAGCGCTTCCATTTTCTCCAGATCATGGTGGCTCCTGGCACTTTGATGACAAGTATTTCGGAGAAGATATGACAAAGTGTACTAAAGTTACAGGGGTAGTAACCAACGAAAATGACATGTACAACGTCCGCGGCGTGCACTGTTATGTTCTGGTATACTCGTATGTACTATTCGAACTCATGCGTGCTATCACGTTGCGCGTAACAAGCCATTGGCGCATATCCGGCTGTTGCGCTAAGGTTAAGGAACCAATGGAAATCGTTGTCGTGTATACCTCGGACTCGTATACAAAAAGTTATTTAACTACGCCCCTGAACACGAGCAGGCGAAACGCCGGCAACAGAGAAAAATCCTCCTAAAAGTAAAAAAAAACTTCACCGGAAGAGCCCACGGCCAAGGTGGAGGCCGATCGACATTTAGATCCCTGCCAACGGCGTAAGCCCTCCGAAAAAAATGGGAAAGCCTGAGACCAATAGAGACGGCACCTGAGCGATCGAGGGTGCCGCGGCACGGCAACAAAGTGGCTCCCGTCAATAGTTTGGGGCCTTTAGAGCAAACGATAGCTATAATAGACTAATATGGTGGGCCCTGAACGATCGGGAGCTCCCCGGTAGGTTAACATGAAGAGCACCGGCCCGAGCTCAGTGCCCTCTAAGAAAAGCAAAAAACGGGAAAGCCCAAGAGCAGTGTACATCAAGTAATACTCTTGAGCAATCGAGAGCACTCAGCAGATGAACGTGCAGGGCCTCGGACAAGGGCTTAGGGTTCTTCGAGTAAATATGAAATGCCCGAGACCATTTTAGCGCGCCACTGTGCGACTAACTGTGCCCGAACAGGTTAACAGAGACGGCCCTGGCAAGAGTGAAGGGTTCTCCGCGAATGAGATAAAAGTGAAAGGCTCTGTATCAACTTAAAAGGCCCATGAGCATTAAGTGCTTCAGTGCATCAACTTGTATGGGCCCCAGCAGCAGCGCAGGTCGCTCTGAGCAAGAGGAAAAACTCGAGACCAATGTGAATGGCCCTTGAGCAACCGAGAACTCGGCGGGTTGACATATGGAGCCTCGGCAAGAACACATAGAGCCTTTCGGACACATGGGAGGAATCCATGGACGACTCCTGATCAATCAACGGTGCTCGGCATGTTAACAGATAATCCCCTAACAGCAGCGTAGGGCCCCACGAAAAAAATGCAGAGATCAAGGGTAGCAAAGAAGGCTCCTTAGCGATCATATTGACCCAGCAAGTGATCATACAGGGCCCCCGATAACATCGCAGGACCTCTGGGCAGCGAAATGAATCTCAAAATCTTCCGAATCACCGCTCTCTCAATCAGCGAAGAACTATGTTTGGCTGCTGAGGGGCCCTCTACATCCGCTTGCGACTGGTGTTTGTCTGGAGGCCCCAAAACGCCGAATTTTGCCGTTCTTTCTGTAAAAAATTGCATCCGTTTAGCAGGTTATGGGTCCCTTCCGACTTCAAGGTAGCGGGAAGGAGATATGCTCTTTAGCCCCTCCTCTGGATCAGCTACTGGTCCGGGCAGATTAACAGACGTTAATAAGAGCGAAGGGCCCTCCAAAGAAATTAGAAGTACCTAAGACACAATGTAGAGGCTTCCGAACGATGAATTCCGCCCGAGAATGTAACAGGTGGGGACCACGACAAGAGCGTAGGGCCCTCCATTAAAAAAAGAATTACCCAAGACCCGGTGTGCAGTCCCCGTGAACAATCGAGTGCGTCCAAGCAGGTTAACGGATGGTTTCCTGACGGCCCTCCGCAAGTCACAGGAAATCGAAAGAGCCCTATATAAATGCAGAGGGCTCATAAGCATATTGCGAGTGTGTCGGTAGCTAACCGAGACCAATGTGTATGACCCTGGGCAACCGACAGTACCCCGGCAGGTCAACATGTGGGGTCCCGGCTATAGCGCAAATTGCCTTTCGGGCGAATGGGAAAAGTCCGTGGTGGGCCCCGGATCGACAAGAGTACTCCGGCATGCGATCAGATAGGACCCCTGACAGCAGCGCAAGGACCTCCGAACAAATGCAAATAAATATGGGCAACGTGAAAGGCTTCCTAGCAGTTGGATTGACCCTGTCAGTGGACATATGAAACACCCGGCCATAGCGGAGGGCCTCAAGATAGTGTAATGAACCTTACAATCTTCTCGATCACTTTTCTTTTAATGAGGAAATACTATTTGTGTCTGTTGGTGGCCCCTCATTTACGCTTGCGGCTGTTCTCGGTCGCCTGGAGGCCCAAAAACGTTCAATTTTGTTACGCTTTGTGCTAAAAATTGCGTCTGTTCGGACGGCTATGAAACATGGGCCCCTTCGGAGCCTTTGGCCCCTTCGTGGGCCCAAGGGGAGGGACCATGACCCCGTGGTCCCCATCTGGATCCTCCACTGCCCTGGATCATTTCTGTCTTCGTCAAATCAGGCCAGAAGCTACATTCCGCGTGTCTTACAGCGGACCTTGACGCATACTCTGCTACTCTGCCGTCATTTCAATCGGAAAGTAGCTTCCATAATTTGTATCCATTTTACATTTCGTGGACGTTGCGCTTAGATCCGCTTGAGAAGCATCAAATCAGCATGTGTGTGTTTTATTTGAATAATCACATTAACAGACAAACGGAAAAGAGCCTCTCAGCGTTGCGGAAAGGTATGTTGCACGCCAACCAAGGTCGAATTGTCAAATTGTCGCCTGTTTCTAGTAAAGCAGCTGCTGAGCGTAGCCTTACTTACCAATGACGACATTTATCACG